TCCCACCTCCTCTTATGTTTTATGTAAGTCGAACTTGTGGAGCATACAAAAAGTTAAGTGAAATACGATGAGTAGCCTTAAAGGCTCTGGTAATATCGACTTGGTGTCCTGTGTTGATAAGATGAGCTATTATTCACTTTATTCTGTCCTTTGTTTAACCAAGATGGGCGGTGTGCACAAATAAAATGACGAAATTTAACTGGTTAAAATTTATGAAAGAGGCATGAACTAAGTATTGGTTGGCTGGTAAATCAATAACATAACTTATTTGCGTTATATGTTTTTGAAGACTCTTGTCAGAAGTTGTAATACAATCCTACTGTTATCATTTTCCATGAATTGTAATCTTAGAAGCGATGGTTTATCAGAAATGTAGGCCCCTGGACATGGTGCTTGTTAATTCATATTTTTATTCAAAAACCTCATTGAATGCCCATTCCTACTTATAACATAACGAATATTCCCTAGTTATTCGGTGAGTGTTTCATCCGAATAAATAATTCTAGAACAGTGAATTATACATCTAACTAAACTTCGTTTGCATTACAGAAGAACGAAATTCAGAAAGTGAACATACTGTCCAGTTGATGTAGTTTAACGGTATAAGATTCCACATACTGTTCGGCCTACCCATTTCGCCATTCGAATGTCCATAAAAAGAGAAAGAGCTACTCTGTTCTCCTTCTTCTTCTTATCCTTTATTAGAATTTACAGATGGTTAAGATTTGTTAAATTCTTTCAACATGTCCTTCACCTCACTTACGTTCCGTGAAGTTATAACAACAACAACTGAAAACGAGGATATTTATTGATTGTTTTAGACTGCCATTCTCTAGTTTTGTGGGAAGAAGGTCTCCCATGACAGCATATAATAATGGTCCTATACCAACACTATCTCACTGCCTATACATTTACTTATTGAACAGAAAAAGTGCTTTCATCGTAAATCTTGAAAGAAGCTTTTTAAGGGAAGATCCAGGAATACCAATCTCTATACCTTCATTTATTAGTTCAGTACATACATAATCTACTGTTTCTAACAAAGTCACACTGGCGGATAAAGAAGATTTATCCAGAGATATCATGAAATTATCTCCACAGATTCAAAACAGTTTTCCACAAGTTCCTTATGTAGCTGTTGTAAAAGTTAAACCAACCATGCTGCAGTTGTATGGTAAGTTGACAGAGACAGATAGAGGAATGATATCACTGGCAAACCACTTTTGTAAATCTTACGCAAACCCTATAATCTAGGCGTCACAGTATGTATAACTTTTAATGCTTCATAAAAACTTGGCGGCATATATATATGTGGTTTTACAGCTTGAGAATAATATCTCTGAAAACGGCGACTGTTCACTGAACACCTTTTCTTTTGGCGTTTTAGCGGGTATTTTCCAGCTAATAATTCTTCTCTTAAAGGCTTTCGATAACGATGACCGATAACTAACTCGAAAGCTGCTTCAGCCCTATGGCGTGTTGTACCCCAAGTCTTCATCAACTTTATCTGACAATGCCACATGTCAAGGGGTTCACAGTGAAGCCTTTGAAGTGAATACCGGAGTAGGACAAAGCCTCCTACCTTCACTGATGATATATTCCTAAACGTGGTAGACTGGATCATGTAACATACTACGTGGAGTGAGAAGACAGGATACGCTGAATCAATAACAAGACTCAAGGAGACCCGGATTTCACAGACGATTTATATCTCATTTAACATAAATTCAAATACCTACGGCCGAAAACCAACAGTTTTCAGAAGAGGTAGGCAGCAAAGACAGGACTTCAAGTAAACATAAACAAAACGAAGTTGACGAAGATAACCAATCAACAACAAGCACCAGTCATTATCAACGGAAGAAATTTCAAAAGGGTCACTTCCTTTACTTATCTAGGTACTACAGATTAAACCACAGGCACTCGATACAAGTGAGGATGTCAAAATCAGAATCAGACAGAACTTCATCACTCTGAAATCAGTTCTGAAATCTACTGTACTCAGTCAGCCTAAAGAATGAAATTTTAACTTCCAACACCAATGTTAAGTCAGTCCTTCTATATGAAAGGCATTTCCAACGGGTTCCTGAAGACTATCTGATATGTATCCATATATATATATATATATATATATATATGTTTATGGTGGTTTCTCTTTCTGTTGCTCTCTTAGTCTGTGACCATTTCACTTTGATGAACCTGTCTCCTTTAACAATGTATATTCCCCTTATATTATATATAATATGTGTGTTTGTTTGACAGTCTGTTATATTTCGCTATGTATATATGGATCGATACTCCATTATAATTAGCCAATCATGTTAAGACTGTCTATTGATTTGTCACACACTTGGTTGGACATTCATATATATTTTGCTCTCACACTATTGTGTGATACATTTTGATTCTCCTTGTGTTGGAAAATAGAAGTATCATCGCAAACCTAGTGGTCTTCTGATTTCCGTCTTCTTGCGTCAGGACTATTAAATTCTCGACCAGTACATAACAATAATAAATTGGCGACGAGTACATAATAATTTGGCGACGGGGAAAACTACTATTAACCACTCAGCAGCAGCAACATAACACTATCACCAATGGCTGCCTCCGCTGGCCATCTACTGAATATCAGATGTTTAGAAGGGATTAGCAATCAGGAACACTGAGAACGAAACCACCAGGAGCTAACTGTTTAACAAATATTTAGAAGAAAACGGAGATGCAACGGACACACTCCAAGGAGACTTTTGGGTGACATCGCGCGCCAGGTTATCTCTGAAATGGAACCCGAATGGTAAACGACAGATGGGTTGTCCAAGGGTGACACGGATGACATCGTGTTGAGAGGAAATGAGAGATTATGGGCAGTCGTAGGACCAGATAAAGAGGACTATAGAGAACAGGTCAAAATAGAGATATGCTATTGGATACCTATGTTCCACTCGGAACCCAAAGGAATTATAACAACTCTTAAAGTGATCACAAAGGAGAAGGTTTTCAGTGTTATTTATATTCACTCTGTTATTCAGATTTATAAAACTTCAGCATGAGGTTTTATGTGATTTTCATATTTTCTTTGACAAATCTCAAAACATAAAAGTTATGTGCCACATCTGTGCGAGGAGGAAGATGGGATAAGTACTATATACGTTATCAGATTAGTCTTCTTTATGTATTATAAATAACACATGTAGGTGGATTTAATGCCCTTTCAACAAAAATCCCATTGAACTTTCTTGAAACTTTAAATTAATTCGTGAAAGTCATTATCACACATCCTATTCAAATTTCAACTACCCTTTTCTTATAATCAACTTTTTATTTGTTTCACTTCTGACCTTAACTCTTTGCTTTTCTTGGGTGTCATTTAATCAGTACACAATGACATTTATCTGTTTGTGAATTTATCTATTTATCTATTCAATCATTCAAAAAAATATATCAAAATTAATTAGGATAAAATTATGTCATTTGTTTTAAATGGTGTACTTTTAAAATGAATTCAATGTTCAATTGAAACAGTGGTTAACTTTAAATTGTTGTTTCCCACACAGATAACTGTACCGTTATGCGTCGAGGTTTCGGTTTCAAATTAAAATTTTAATTGTTATGATTTATATTACTATAGAGACGTATAGAAAATGGAACAAGGTCATCGTCACTGTAGACATAAAATTATTCCATAATTCGAATGAATTTTATTCAGTCTCTCCAACTTGTTGTTTTGTCCAGAATTAATTAATTAATTAATTCTAGGGCAGATTGGTTAATAAATAACTTCGAATCACGAGAAGCTGTTCAGCTAACTACACCGGGGAAGCAATATTTTAGTAACGTTAACTGATATCTCTGCAGATGATTAGACCGAGTACCATCATGTTGAGAGTGATCTGTGACTTATGCCTTCCGCTTATTATGTATACTGTCCACCAATCAAGTGATTTTTTTATTATTCATAATTTGGGTTTCGTGTTGATTTCAATACATGCAGACAGGCTGACACTCATGTACTGAAATTCATGTTCTGAGAAAGGCTCAAACTCTTAACCCCCACATTATAAGTACTGCCTTCTAACCAATTTCTATGAGCTAGCCCGCCTTGTAACCAGAAGGTCCTGGGTTCGAACTCTGGCTGTGGATGTGTGCTGGTGAGGAGTCCCAAAATAGGACGAAACAGCCGTTCAGTACTCCCAGGTTTTTCAGTGGTTCCCTAATTGATTTCAGCTCATGATGAAATCCTCCAATCAATCATACAGACTGATAGATAAACGCATAAATGCACCATCTGATAGTGTGATCGATGAAGACAGATGCAAAGAAGAGAATATTTAGATGGAAATTGGCTGACACCTTTGGAATATTAAAGCTGACAGATGGTCCATACATTTGTGTCATTGTGTATAACTTTCAGGCATGCTGCAAAGAAACTCAAACCATTCTTAGAATTTCGAAGTCTCTATTCAAGCGGTCAACACAACAGTATAAACGGCCCCAGTCAACGGGCGATGGCTTCATATATTGATAACATTTATCAATTTGACCATTAACTCTTTTCTGGAGTAATGATAAATCAGCCGCAAAAATTGTGGTTGTAAAATGATAAAATATTTACGGAGTGACTTTAAAAATGTCTTTGCAGTACAACTCTACCCCTAAATATTCTGGGGAAGTCAACAAAGTGCCACGGTGGTTTCACATTAAAACTGCTCGCCAACCATGCGTGTGGTCCAATTTCAATTTCTGGCCGACACACTCCTAATACCTCACTTATCTGGTAGTAAGCCCGAAAAGGAGGGAACTCTGGATGTGAGACTGGTGACTCCACCTGGTCAAAACACTACCACTGCTGCTAAAACTTTGAAGCTCCAGGCATATGTTCCACCTGGAACGCTCAGAGACGGAGACGGATGACGTTCAAAACATAATCTATTGTTCATTATCGTATCAATAATGTTTATAAATGTATTTACACTCATATACTGATGAGAACTTCGACTTACCTACGCGTATACGTAAGCTTTCTGGTGGATCCTTCGACTCATCTTTGACATTCTGGACAGATTCAACCATATCAAGAGCCATTTCAGCAATAAACGGAGCATGATAATTTGTACGTGTTGGACAACCTGAAGCTATCATATAGGCATCACCAATTGTTTCAACCTGGTAAGTAGGGGGGATTGTAGAAGGATGTGAATGTAAACTGATAAAATGGAATTAAATATTCAAAAGCATTACAAGGTTTATATCTGATGGGTGGGATATATATATAGTAGTTTTTTCAGTCCAATTTTGATTTCCCTGAGACATTTGACCTCTGTTGGCATGTCGCTCCTCGTACGGAGGCTTCAACGATGTCTGAGGATTAATTTAATGTAGTTCGGTGAATAATGACTGGCGATGGAGTCCAAGATGCGCGTTTCGTGTGATTCAGGACTCATCGCCTGGATATACCTGTATTCCCACTAAGTGATAGTAATTTCGATGAGGGTTGATTCTTGTGCCCCTCGTTCCAAACACCAAAGAATTACCCACTAGGCCAGGAGCGCTACAATGGCGTCTAATATGTAAACAGAGGTTTTCGCAGTTTTAGCGCAACCACCAGCCAATGTCACCTCTTTGCACATCCCACTGGCAGCTTCTTCTCTGTAGAACCCGACAAAACTTTGAGACTCTTTCACACTACCCATTCGCCTAGTCAAGTGTGTGGACGAATACCTGATGATGACTTTAGATGGCAGTCGTACAAAAGTCGAGAAATGACAGAAGTATGAATTGACAGACCAATGAATTCCGACCTACTTAGTTGAATAGTTAAACTTCACACAGTAACCTGTAAGTTCCTGGTTCGATCTCTGTTTGGGTCCGTGGGTGTGTACTGCTGAAAAGTCCCAAAGATAGGACGAAACAGTTGTTCAGTTCTCCTTGGCTTGCAATGAATCTCTGAATCACTGATATCAATCAGTGATCAAACTTAAAACAAATCGGATCCCTACAAATCAACACATGAAAATTATTATTTTCTGATAAACTACAGGAAATTAAAAACAACTTTAATAGCAGTAATACTTTTTTTATTGCTTATATTGTTACAAATAAAATATGTAAGCTTTTCGAAGCTATAATACAACCACTTAGCTTAAAATACAAAATGTTTTAAGGAATGCAAACTAGCACTGAAAAAAGACGATAAAACACCTGTAGTTTTGAAACAAAAAGACTTCCTAGATTTTAATTTATCGACTTATCAGAAAGGTGTAAAGAAGATTCTTCTGCCTTATCGGTAATTAGGTGTATCTGTACAACACATCTGTTTTTAACTAACTTTTAATCTGGTTTCCACTGTATTTCCGTAAGAAACAGGAACAGTGAAATGTGGTCGTAAGATCACAGGAAAAAAACAGATATTTGGTTGCAGGATTTTATCATGAGGCCACATCGGTGAGAGAATCATTAGAAAACCTGCAGAGAGTACTGTACAGCTGTTTCGTTCTGGTTCGGGACTCTTAAACAGTACGCACCCCCCCACAGGGGTTCGAACCCAGGACCTTCTGGTTACAAGGCAAGCTAGTAGACGATTGAGCTACTGCGACCCTATCCAGTGAGTCATCTTCCTGATGAAATCATCAATTACGATGGATATTCGTGAAGAAGTTACAAAATGACTTCGCATCAGGCGTAAAAATACAACGGAGGATAAAATGAAGCTACCTAATAAGAATAGGGATTAAAATAGTAAAACGGAAAATTTAAACAATAAAAACAATTACGGAATGGATTAAAGATGCCTATTAGAAATTTGAAAAAAATTGATTACTCAACAAAGAGTATTCTTTTCGATAACGCCTTCTTCATCTGGTTCTACAGTTTTATATGCGGAATAATGAAAGAATTTTTGCTATGGACATCAGTGTTTTTTAAACTTAACATCGAATCAATGACATTAGAATTCCTAGTTATATGCAAATAGACTGTTAACACACAAAACAATTCCAACAGTAGTGTGAACACGGGCAGTAATTTTGCTCGAAATATTACCAATAACAAAACTTATCATTGTGTGTAAACTATTGAAATATAATTATACTTTATTTAATCTATTATAATAAAGGTTTTTTGTATTTCCTAATGAATGAAAACAAAACGATATAAATAGTTATAAATAACTGCAGTGGACTCTTATGAGTCCTATTCATATTAAACTCTGTTCATATTGATTATAAACTTCAGATGGATGAATGATAATCTCAAAGACGGGGGAGAAGAATTGAGGTAAAAGGTTATGTACGTTGTACGTGTGTATGTGTTATTGTGTAAGTTAGTGGCTACGTTTATATAAGAAAACAAAAGCTTAGTTTATTCAAGTGTAATAACGACAGGTATGGGAATTTACATGTATAGAGTTGAGGGCCATACCAAAAGGTCAGACTTAATATTTATGATTTTGCAGACTTTACAGGGTAATAGTGATGGCTGGACCTGTTTCTTCTGCAGACGAGGCACCGGATGTGTTTAGGCGAATTGCAATAGCCTCTGCTGTTTGAAGTATTCGGTACTTGACTGCTTTTGGCAATTTATTCGGTACCTGATAGATGGTAGCTAAAAGTTCGTCAGTACTGGCTTTGTGGCCAGTTTGGACCAGGTGGTTTAGTATCAAACTGTTGATAGTTTCCACTGCACCTTTATTTAGCCATACTAGTAGATGTTCTCGAGCACGAAAAATCGATTTCCTGGAACAGTGGCCGACATAACTCGTTGAACTGGTAAATACAAGAAGAAGTAGCTAGTCCAGGTAGTTCATTTTTCAACTGGAGAATCACAACAGGTTGTGTAGTAAACATGACTTGTAGTTTACCAGCATTATAAGTTCTTTGAATACCTTTTCTCAACCTGTTAGTAATTATTTCACTCGGTACATCGCCCTTAAATTGTAGAGAGAGAATATTCCTTTTGCTACTTTCTTGGTCATGAGACAAACTTTTCTGGATAGCTGACCTCAGTGAAGGTTATCGTACAATCCAAGGTTCATCTTCAGTTACCTCTTCTGAGCATATACATAGCTCTAACCCTCATTAAATTTTTTTTGTACTGGAGGGGAATGAAGCTATGAAAATGTATATATTTTCCTGTCCATGTAATTTTCTTATGCGAATTTCTCTTTACACTACCATTTAGTTTTCTTGTAAGAACGACATCTAAGAAGGCAATTCTATTTTCAGGCTCCCTTTCACTCATGAATTTGATAGCTGAATGTACCTCATTGAATTGAATAATTACTGCATTTCTGTCCAGAAAATAGTTATTCTGTTGATAAAATAGAATGATCATGACAGCTATGGGAAACAAAGATAAAGTGTGTGCACCCTTTCTATGGACGTCTAGAATTGGATTGAATTTTCGAGTAGCCAATGTTTTTGCTACACCTAAATATCTTGATGTCATCTCTCTGGGAAGCCTGGTCGGACCTGGTATGAAATCTGCAAGGATTTCTTGGACGAAAGTGAGTGAAATATGTCCACAAAAAGCTCTCTTAGTTACAGGATTACATCATGAGCTGACATTGGTTAGAGAACCATTGTAAAACCTGGGAGTACTGGAGAGCTGTTTCGTCCTAGTTTTCAATGGTTCTCTGACCAGTGTCAGTTCATGGTGAAATCAATCAAATCCCTACAAACCGACAATAGAAGCTTTTTAGTCTAACCGAAGACACGCTTCTGTTTTAATACTTTGTAAATATATGATATCCAGAAGTCAGATGCCTAGAAATCCTCGAAAATTCCGTACAAAATCCTATTAATACTCTCGCAGGTGAGATCAAGATATATGAGGATAGTGAAAGAATCTGCAAGCTGAAAAGGCAAGGCAACGCCACTTATCTTTGTTTTCTATACCCGTCGTAATCAGTCTTTCTTTTAAATAGAATCATTGTGACGTAATAATGTCCGCTATCTGATCTTCACGTTTATTTTTCTATTACAACCCCTTATTTTACCACGTAACTTCATTTTATTATTTGCTATATTTTGACGCCTGAAGGTGAAATAAGTTTAGAACTTCCTCACTCTTTTGTCATAGATATATATATATTCACGAATATTTGTCATAATTGGTAGCTTCGTCAAAGAGAAACATCTTTCTTCATTAAAAATAAATAATTGTTCTTTTCATTTTATGTTTTCAAATGTAACCAGCATAACTTCATTTGGTAGTTCTTTACTCTGATGCATATCTTTGGAAGTGGCTAGCTAATAACGTAATCTGAAAAAAATTCAAAATATGTCATGTACCACAGTTGTTAAATATTACGGTGACAAATGACGTTCAGTGTCATACATTGCGTATTTGTTCAATATTAGCCACATTTAACTGATACACCACACGACCATGAGTATGATTTATTAACTGGATGATGTCTGGAGTACATTTCACCACTCATACAAATTATGACCACTACGTGATTATTCTGGATGTTAAACGTCACTTTTGGGGAAATGTTTGTGCGTGATATTTCTCTAATAACCTTTCAGCTTTTATCTCAGATAGAATATCGTTTTTATTTTCATTATTGTATGAAGCTATTCACAGTTTACACTGATCATAATCACATATACTGGATTTTCATTATACCTTGGGAAACACCGTTTAGAATAATGAACCTTCATATCATGAGAGTTTATTCTAGCTCTTAAGGTTTGGTTACTTGAATTTCAACCCCTGAGCCCCCTAATTTTAAAACAGATAACATCTTGACAAAGTATCCAGTCAGTCAGAAAGAGACTATCTACCAAAAAGGTATCAAATCAGTAATCTGAAGATTTCAAAGTCATTCGTGAAATCAGAGTGGCAGAAAGTGTTTACACCTTAAATATGTGTATGTTCTGCTTATCTAAACCGACATTCTCCGAGAGAAGGTCTTCAATTACATTATAACCTTCTTCAACAGACTTTACAGTTAGAAATCCACTAGAATCCACTACAACAGCTAGTAGAAGCGAATCAAAATTATATCAGAAACTGTATTTTGATACAAGTACACATAGTATAGTTTGTGCGTCGGAGGTACAGTGGTAGAATGCTCCCCAGTCACGCAGGCGGTTCGGGGTTCGTTCCCCGGCCACCAAAGCACTTGTTTACCTCGCTAAGCCAGTAATAAGACTGGTAAAGAGGGAAGGTTGGGCATGAGGCTAGCGACTCCAATCCTTTAAAACAAACACTACAACTAATGAAACTGCAAAGCTCTAGCTTCTAAGCCCTATGTCCCACTGGGAACGTGAAGGAATAAAACAAAAAACAAATAATAAAGTAACTTAAATGCATAAATAGGATAGTCTTGTCTTACTGAATGGATAATTGATAGGTGTTCCAGTAAGCCATCAGTAGGAATTCGTTTACCTTTCATATTGGTATCCAAAGGCGTAGTAATCAGTTCGAATAAACCTGATCTCTGTATCTCAAGTAAATATATGTCTTGCTACCATATTTGTCTTAGCTTACAACAGCATCAACAAAATATGTATAATTACCAATAATCAATACTTTCAATCCCTACTATGTTCTTTTCCTCTATTCCTTAGTTTCGATGACAAAGCCACATTTCAGATGTTTGTGATATCGCGAACTTTCTCACTAATTTTTTGTTGAGAGCTAGCTGCAAGCCAGAATTGTAGACAACAATTTACGTTAATGTTACTTCTCGAGTCGGGGCCATGAAAAGAGCAACAACAAAGCCTAACCTTGAGGAACTCAACAACCAATCATAGCAGACTTAACGTGTACAAATACGATTCGCAGATATATAGCTTCACTTTCTAAGAAACGGTCACAAGCAGTACACAATAACCTTCAGCAAGAAAACAACCAATCAGAAGACGTTGCCTCTCTGCTAACAATAACGAAGAATATTGTATATAAGCACCCATAAATATCTCTTAATTTTGTCAATAAACGATCTGTTGCCCGACCCTTGTCTTCTGTCGTTACAATTTTACTAACATTATTTGTTTTCTTAAGTTTACATAAATCTTTTCATATTTGTTACTTTACTTATATGGTCTTTTTTCCTTCGACTAAATTCATTGTCACTTGACAATCATTCACCTCTATTACTACAGTGTCTACTTCGAACTGACATTATCCTTGTTTACCGTCCCTTGGAATTCACGACCCAGCTGGTAAGCATCCAGAGTAGAATCCTTCCTGGATGCAGATCTTCATTCTATTTGCTTCTGTACCCTACTTAAATAAGTTACATTCGCGTGAATAATTCATCTTAAATAGTGGAAAACACTTGTAACTTATTTGGATTTAAATTTAATAATTTTGTAGCCTTTAACTTTAAAATGAAGTTAACATTGAAAATGCTGTTTAGAAGGACAATTAAACTAACCAGGTCAGATAACAAAACACAACATCAGAATGATTTAATTTAACTTACTTTATATACTTTATGCTTCTCTGTAAGTCCATCAAAAACTGAATAGAGCTTATTCAATAAATTAACAACCTCTAGTGGTGCCAGACCACTACAAATTGTTGTAAAACCAACTACATCACTCAATAGCAGAGTGACAGTTTCGAATGTCTATACAAAAGAAAAAAAATCGCAAAATGCTTACACATGAAGATAAATCACAGATTAGGAAATCACTTAGAAAATTCATTGAAGTTGTAGTCATGAGATCAAATAGCTCAACACCAACGTGCATAACTATATCGCTAGATGATACAGGTTCATATCCTCAAGAGAGAATCATTTCTTGCCGACAAGCGTCTAGAAGGGCGAAACAGATGTTTAGGGCTTCTTACTGATTACCATCAACCATCTTGCATCAATTCAAAGTGCAACGCGAGACACTCAGATCGGTGAAGACACTGCGAACCTGGCTGATGGAATTCAGTTGTCAACACAAACTAAGATTAGGCACAAGACACTGGACGATACCTAGTGGCCCATTCTGACATATGAAGAAGTGTACCATCAAACTGCGGAAATCCAGTTAGGAAAGCCTTTGGGTACACTGAAGTGATTTTGAGGAACAAGTTATGCTTGAAACACCATCCGGTTATTAGTTTGTGGAAAAACTTTGATACCGGACATCTCGTAGCGATTTCTAAGTCCTTCAAAATATTTAATAGACAAAGGACAGCAAATTTACTACGATTTGCCGAAGCAAGCGCAATCAAAATACTTAAACCAGACTTATACATACAGAAAGAGAGTGTGATTAACCTCTCACTCCCTTGGTAACAGAATTTTGATTTTGATTAGTCATCTAATTCAGTGATCTCAAATCACTGAACAAATCTTAATCTCATAAACTGTAACCGCTTTTGTTTTTTGAGTGGCGATGTGGACCTACAAGCTAACACTGTTCTGTTATTTATTCTGTTTTCTGTCATACCCTTCCCCCTCTTTTCAGCTTTAAAAGCGTATAAATTGATGATGAAAAATTAAACTAAAAATTGTAATGCTTTCATTTTGGATACGTCAATTTGATAGTATCTCTTCTCTACCACCACTCAAACATTAAAGTATGTTACTATCATCTATATAACCATTGTAATTACAGGTAGTCAATGGCAGCTGATGAGAACCTGTGAAATAGAATGATGTGATTTTATACTGCAAATTTCGTCTTCCTTTCTTTATCGAAAAACTTTGATTTTATTATCAGTAAAAAGTTCGGGCATTGTGGATTAGATCAAATAAAGTATAAATATATTTTAATAATTTACACAATGATAAGTTATCATAACTTATCATTGTGTGTAAATTATTGAAATGTAATTATACTTTATTTAAACTTTGATTTTTTTGTTATATACAGGTTTTATTATCATAAATTTAAGATTTAATAGTACTTTGATAAGACTGTTTCACACAAATAAGGAAACATAACTTCTAACAATCTTGCCCGCCCTTTCACTGGTTTATAAATGAAGACATCAAAATATTAGATAGTAATTTATCGAAATGCATTGCCACGCGTAGCGTAATGAAATTCACATCAAATTTGTATACAGTTATTTAATCCATTTATGAAAATCGCTTCTCCTTCAGTTATGATTGTTATATAACTTTAATCAGTCATGGGAAACAGCTGTTCCGGTGAATGAAATTGAACAAAGTGCCAGCTGGATCTAACAGCCCAGCTGTTCGAGCGCTGATCTAAGGACTTGTTTACTGTGGTTTTAATCTTCATTTTAACCGCAATCAGCGTCTATACTTATCGAACTATATCTATATCAGCAAATTTCAACACCACTAACCACCGGTAATTACAAGTGTGCATCTATCAAGTGAAAAATTTCTTAAGAACTGAAAATAAATACTTCTTTGAGATCACCAGAGATCGACTAAAATTCTGATTTATATTTCTTCTTTCAAAGGTTTAATTCATTTTCACAGCATAATTTTTGGTATATGCCGAGAAAATCTAAGATGCGGCCTTCTTCGGTAGTTACAGTGGGGCTGTTATACATAACTGGAGCTAACAAACTAAGAAACATGCTATTTGGTGTACAGGAGTTCATTTAACCTCAAGGAATGTAAAATCCAGTAATTCGTCTGTCAGTTATCCCTGCAATGGTGTAACCATTAAATTTTAGGTGGATTAATACGGGCTTTTTGTTCACTGTGGGAATTCTTTTCATATATATACATATATATATATATGTGTATATATGTATATGTATTTTTTGAGCGTCGGTGGCACAACGGTTAGGACGTTCGCCGACCATGCACATGGTCCGGGGTTCGATCTCCGGCCGACGCACTCCTTTACCTCGCTAAGCCACAAATGATGTTGGTAAAGAGGAAAGGTTGGGTATGAGGCTAGCAGCCCCATTCTGTAAAACAAACACTGCTACAGAAACTTCAAGCCACCGGCTTGAAGCCCTATGTTCCACTGGGAACGTGAAGGAAAAAAATATATATTCCCTTACTGTTGATGTTATGCATGACTGAATATGAAGTAAAAATATGACTCATGGCAGGATTCGAAACGGTAACCCTTGGTGCATCTTGTGCAGCACCGGACTAGCAATTGGGAAGTCGTTTATTTGAATCCCAATACAATGCAGATTTTCACTCCACCTTCAGTCATCACCTATGACATAAAAATCTTTCTGTCAACCCAGAGCTATCTCAGACACTCTCCCTAGTATTATTTATTATGACGTAATCAGAAGATTTCAACCACTGGATTTAGAATACATACCCTAAAGGCAGTATATCTGTTACACAAATTGATGTTCATCGATGCGATCTTTCAGGAAAGTGCATATCGACTAATTCTAAAATGCACTAGCACATTTCATTATTCTCCACCATGGTGAATACAAACCAGTAGAGACAGAACGTAACAAAATGTTAACAAACATATACACATCACAAGCTAAAGACATTTTATTAATCACTATGATATCAATACCACATACCTCACATGTATCTACAGCTGCTTCTCCAGCTCTAAGTCGTTGTGCAACAGAACGAGGAATCATCTGATACAGGAGTTCATCTGTTCTTCTCATTTCCTCATCTAATCTTCTTAAACTTTCTTCTAATCTCTTACTCTTTTCACTTTCCTATAAATACAAAGAAGGCGAAATAATAAGTTATAGAATTAGTTCTCTTTCTTAATGTCTGTAAAAAGTTTGAGCATCGTGGAATAGATCAAATAAAGTATAATTATATCTCAGCGCTTTACACAAAATGATAATTTTAGTATTCATGCATTGCTTTGCAGAAGTTTGATTGACTGGTTACAGGATTTCTTCATGAGCTGACATCAGTTAGACAACCATTGAAAAACCTGCAGGGGCTACTAGACAGCTGTTTTGTTAGCCTAGTTCGCTACTCTTCACCAACACCCACCCACCTGGACTGGAACTCAGGACCTTCTGGTCACAAGGCGAGCTAGCTCTTAGACCAATAAGTCACTGGGACGTAATCCAATGGCAAGTCCATGTATTCTAACTTCTGCCAATTCAAGACATAGTGCGACCACTAGCCAACATCTTCGGCGAGTATTTGTCTTCACACCCGACTTGCCGCACCCTGCTAGTCACGGCTTCCCAGTGGAACCCTAGGTAACTACCTACCTACTCGAATTTCCAATTTAGTGAATATGTGAAGGATTTAGAGCACATGAAATGGAAGTGAACTGAATTCACTCCACCACTGTTTATTGCTCTCGCTTTACGAAAAAATAGGTAGTGGGTTTTTGATAGTGTCATTAGATATTAGTGTAACATCGAATGTTTAACCTATTACACGTATCACGTGCATTCTGTGCATTCAGTTGTATATCCTATCAAATATTTTGGACTTTATTTGGATAACCATGCTACCAGTCTGCGATTGTTTGTCTTTCAATTAATGAATGTGATCATGTTTGTGGTTTTACAAGATTTACGTAAAACTATATACTGGTGATTGACTGTGTAGTTGTGTAACGATAGAATGCGACAGACTTGGGAAAGGAACCTTTATTAGGAACCTGGTACCTTTACATAGCCAAATTATGTATACCTTACATTCAACGCAACATTTGCACAGATCTTCTGTGTTGTGCTACTCCTGCCTTTCCTTCATATTATGTTTCTTTGTGTTCCTTTCACATTCTCCCATGTTTCTCCGCAACGCTGCATCATTTGCTTTCTCTGACAGCTACGTAATCTACAGAATCAAGAATAACCTACGGAAGGCAATGCGGTTTCGTCTTCTTTGTATCACTGAAGCTCTGACCATTCACATAGAAAGCCTGGAGCTGTGCATACAAAAGAGAATTACTCAACCACTTCTACTATCATGGTAACAAATTTGTCGATTTCTGATGACCGAATTTTGTTTGTTTCCTTGTTTTTTTAATTAATTATAATTCTTGTATTCATTTAGAACTCTTACGTAATTTCGGTTTGTCTTCTTTGTTTTTATGTGCATCTTGAGTACACCTCAATCATCAAAGTATTCATATTATTATGCAACTTGATATAAGAATAAAACTTGTACACTGTGGTAGGGTATAATTCCATTATGGATAAAATTTATTTTGATAAAGTCTCACAATTATATATGTCCAAACCAAGTTCACCTTTAACGGTTTGAAAAATTTGGGCATTGGGTATATGATATTCATTATAATAGAGGTTTTTGTATTTCCCAATGAATGAAAAACAAAACGAAATTGTTTTTACTGACGTTTAGCTATTTAATGCTAATAGCTTTCTCAAAGTATTATTAAACCGGAATTTACAAAATCTCAGCATATACATAAAGTCTCACAATGTTATACAGTAATATTTACTGATGACGTTATTATTGCTCATAATCATTCCAAGATACTCACACAACTTTCCAATTTCGTTTATATAATTCCATTATTTTCCATTGCTTGATCTGATTGGTAGTAGTAATTTCCATATTTCCTGTATGAGTGATGTGTCATTCCTATTGCACGTTTTGGGTACTGACTTGATGAACAAGCATTCAGTAATCAACCTCTTTCTCCACCTACCTATATTACTTCCTAGAATTTTAACCCTCTCCCACCATGCTATTGTGTGGTTGTGTGTTGATGCATGCAGTGCAATTGCTGAGCTTTTTTCTAAATTATTTATCTTCTCTGGGTCAACCATTCTTACCTTAGCTGAATTCTTATGTTTTGAAAATCTGACTACCCCTGACCTACTAGTTTGTCCTATTTCGTTCACCTTACATAGTCAGTGCAAGGTATTTTGTAAATAATACTATTTTGTCTAAATTGCTTCACCATCAGGGTACTTTAACCTGCAGAGCTTGTCCCTGAGTGAGTTTGTAGGTTTGAATGCCACCCTGATTCCTGCTTTATTAAGAGGTCTACAACGTAGGGTCTGAAATTTTTTCTCCTTACACAGTAAAATTACTATAGATGCCTTGTATTCTTTCTTATTTATGTTATCATTATTAGTTTCACCACTATTTTCATTTTGCCTTTGACCTTTTTTAATATTCCTAATGAATTTTATACGCTTCTTCTATCTGTTTCACTTCGTCATTTAGGTCTTTTCTTGTACTGGTTAGTGCTGCTGCTCGGTTTGTTAGACACTTGACTAAGTACGCCTTAACAGTTAAGGGATGAGATCAATTAAAGTCTATTCGTTTTATTTTACAATCTAACATAGTTAATTCTCCTTGTTCATTTTCCGATTCAAGTGTGAATTTTGTTCCCTTTACTAGTGAGTTAATATGAGTCAAGAAGCCGGAGATATGTTCCTCTTTTAATACTGTGAAAGTGTCATCCACTTATCTCCATCATATTTTTGGAGTAGGATTAAATGTCTTAAGAGCAATATTTTTCCAGCTGTCCATAAAGATATCTGCTACGATGGGGGATATTGGTGATCCTATTGCTACACCTTCTCTTTGTCTATATACTTTCCCTGAAATTTAACGACAGCAGGTGTGAAGTATAACTAAATTCCTAAAATAATTTTCTCAGTGGGCAGTTCTTTCCTATGACTACTTTACCTTATATGGATTTATTCAAATGTCTAATGAATCTTTACTCATGTATATAAATGAAGCAAGCAAGTTTTGTGAGAGTAACTTGATATGATTAAGAGCAATGATAATTTGTGCTTGAAACATGGTGATCAGTAAATATTACTGTATAGCACTGTGTGAGACTTTATCAAAATAAAATCTTATCCATAATTAACTGTTAATCTTGTTCATTTAACTTATCAGTATTCACGAAAGTTTGTCGTAGTATGGAAAAGGGTAAAACCAAAATTTCATAAAATTATTTTGCTTGATAAATTTGAACAAAACAAGAAGAAGAAACTGGACAGAAAAAATGACGTCATTGTGTTTCATAGGGTTTTTCTAGATAGGATTGTTTTTTGACCTCTTTTAAACTAAATTATTTAACTATTTAATTGAATTTTTGATTTTCCCGTCGATTGATTGGACCGAAGTGATCGGTCTCAGGTTGACATGTCGGCTTCTTTTGCAGATGCTTCGACGATGTCTGGTCATTTAATAAGTATTTAATTGGTGGATGGTGACTAGAAAAGAAATCAAGGATGCGCATTTCGTCCTATTTGGGACTCGTCATCTGGATGTACCTGCATTTCTCAGTGAGTGATGATGTTCCCACCGAGGCTCAAACCCAGTACCCAAGTGGTCTAGTGGATAACGCTTTGGCGTTTGAAACTATGGGTTCTATGTGGTTCAGAATCTCGCCAGCCGTGTCATGAAAGGCTCCAAATTTTTATCAACAGCTGGCGCCTTTTCTCCGTCCTACTGAGAATCAGATAGCCATTAAGAGCCAGTTGTAAGAAACTCTGGGAACAAACCAATTAGGAACCTGTTGCATAACGAATTTGACGAAGGAAATATAGATGGATCAAATGCATGCTGAGGAGACCGCTGGATGACATCGCTCGTAAGGGCATTTCTTGAGTGTAATCCGAGTGGCAAACGACAAGTTATTTGTGTGTCCAAGAGTGACATGGCGGAGATCATGTAAAGAAAATATGTCTGACTGCCTGGGGTTGGAAGCGTGCTTCCTAGCCAGATAAGTGAAGGAAGTAACCTCGTTCAAATCTCTCCTGTTGATGGTGATTGGTGCTGGTTGTTGTTGCTACTTTTGCTTGGTTGGCTGGTTGATTATCTTCATCACCTCTATCTTCTCTATGTTCACCTGAAGTCCTGTCTTCGCTGCCTCCATTTTCTGCCAGTCTGTTGATTTTCGACTGTAAGTCTTCGAGTTTGGGTGACACTTAACATAAATCATCTACACACGAAATGTAGATCTTCTCGAGTCTTTTTATCGGTAGTCCAGCGTATACCTGCCTCCTCGCTCCCCACAGTCTGATGCATAGTCCAGTCCACCATAATTAAGAATATCATCGGTGATAATAGTCTGGCAGCCTGGTCTTACTCCTGTATTCATTTTGAACACCTCAATGAGTTTCCCGTTCTGGGCTACCTGACACGTGGCATTGTCATATAGCCAGCTGTTGAATAAGTTTGATAAAGACTTCGGGTACGCCATAGTGAAGTTAAATAATCTAAATATAAGTGATTAAAATATCAAAACATTCATGACCAAAATACAGTCAGTTACATTGATATGTGTGTCGACTACTCACTTGTTCTAAGGCTAATTTCAACTCAGCAGATTGTTGTTCACCAGCCAATACCATATCACGACTAGAATCATGCATACTTAAATCGTTTAAATATAAGCCTATCTCCAGCATAGAATCCACATCACGCATACTGTAAAATGTAAAGAAAAGTAATAAAGATACAGAATAAGCAATTCTAAATAGATTTGTTCACATAAATATATTACAAACGTTGGTCAATAGTTACCTTGATTGTGATATGATTCTTTAAACAGGTAAGGGGCTGCTGTGACTTATTGAAGCCGAATTCTTTTTCGTTACACTTAGATGGATAAATATTTGGGTGAGTATAAGGATCTAATAGCTGAATAGATAAATTAAATATGAAACCTGAGTTTCAAGGTTTTTTGTATTTCTCTTTGATTAACTATGGTGAACCAAAACGCTTGGTTTCCGTTGATATATCAGCTTCTTGTGTGGGAGACTCGACGATGTCTAAACATCAACATGGAGTTATTTTTAATTGGTGGTAACTATCATTAGAATCCATTGTACGCATTTCGTCCTACTCTGGACTCTTCATCTGTTTGGTGATATCACAATTGGGACTTGAACCTCGCACCCACCATTTCAGATGTCAAAGCATTATCTACTAGGCCATGAGTCTCAAATAGGACGAAATGCACATTCCGAATTCCACTGTTGGCCACCTAATATATATATATATATAATATTATGAAAGGAAGTTATACTGTCAGCGCAATTCTAATTATATTTCGATTAAAATGAATTTTCGTATTCCCAGAAACAGGTACATCGGGTAGACAAGCCCCAAATAGAACGCAACACACCTCCTAGATTCCTCTGTTAGTTGCTACTAGTCAGTTCACTTCAAGATGACCACAAGTTACCATTGGAACATCTTCCACTTAAAACCGATCAACCAACACAGATGAAATATTTCCCTACAGAGATATCAAACAACAGGAAATTCAAATACTTTATTAAGAGACTGGTATTTGGGTGTTTGCCCTGAAGATGTTGTCCATAAGGATAATTAAGCTTCGCAATTAAATCTGCCAGCTCAGAGAAGGCAACCACAACAAAGTTAGAAGTTTACAAGACATTTATTTACGATATACACCAGTGCATTACGTGATGGACAAACTCTTCAAGTACATCGTCCACACAACAATTAACTCACATATGGAAGGCATGAAATATTCTCGGATTAACTTGATTTACAGGATTATAAGAGTAATTATCATAGACAGAGCAATAAGATGTAGTTTGTCTCAATCGTGTAATGTATTTATTTGCGCAACACATTTCGAACAATCTGATCACACACGGATTTGTTATAGGAATATAAATGAAATAATAGAAGATATGTTGACGATATTGTAATAATAAGTGATAAGCCTTGTTCTGCCTTCTTGGTTTTTAATCGAACGAATGAATAGCATATCACTTACACCTGAAGAAGAGGAAGATAATTGTTTATCTTTCGTAAATACATTGCTTAGTAGTCGACGGATAACCTGATGGATCAATAAGACGATCTATTTACAGAAAACCCATCTGGACAATAGAGTATCTTAATTATCACAGTTTCTGCTCTAAATGAGTAGCAACATCGGTTCGACTCCCCGCTGACACATCTAAACCTCACTTAGCCTGTTGGCATGAGACCAGTAAAGATGGACGGTTAGGCATGATACCATTACCCACACCCAGTAAAAATGACATCACCCACATTTGAAGTTGGTTAGATGTTTGTTCCAAGTGGGCAATAAATGAGATTATCAGGCCTTCTTCTGTGTAGTTTAAAATCAAAGAATCGAATGTGAATTCTTTAATGTTACTTACTCGGCTAATTTCACATTCTCTTGTAAACATGTTTCTTATGCAACAAATGATTTTACATTATTGATAATAATTATCCAGACAAGTACACCAGGAGATATAAAGTAGCCAGAACACCAAGACCCACTTCCAATTCGCTCCTAAGAAAGACACGTACATCAAGCTACCTTATATAGGGCATCATAGCAGCTTGATAGCTAGACAAAGATTGAAAGTCGCGATCAAAAAGACTTTTTATGCAGCTAGGATCATAATGCAGTCAGTAGTCATTCTGGTTATAACAAACCAGCAGGCGAGAGTGATCGCTCAAAATATATGTAAGAGAAAATGGAGATTGAGTGGCCATACGCTGGCTGAGGAGGCCATCGAATTACATTACGCTCAATGCAGGTCATCCCTCTAGTGGAATCCAAATGCGAAATGACGAAAGGGTCGTCAGTAGTAGGTGACATATAGGAGATCGTGTGAGCCGGTGGAGATGAGAGATTATAGTCAGACGTGTAACTAGCCCGCTGAAGAGAATGGAAGAGAATAGGAGAAAGTGGAGTTGTGTTGCTGAAGCCGTGTATCCTAACCAAGGGAATAGTAATAATAGACTTTCATTGATGACAGACATTAAAAACAAAAATATTTACTGATTTATTATCTCAGAACAAAATCAAGATAGGCGTTTCTAATCCCTCATGAAATTATTTTAAGTATAAAAATGGTAGGGAATTATGCTTCTATCTATCATAACTTCAATTATTCAATATGTGTACGTTTCGCCTTTAAATTAAGTTAGCAGTTTAAAAATAACTTTGTAAAGTAATTGCGGGGAAATCACATTCGCGTATGAATATCAAATTAGGCTCTATTAGTACTATTTCTTTCCATAAACGTAAGCCATTCAGAATACAGCAAAGAAATCATTCAAAATATAACTTAGTTTGTTCGATAGTCTTAATCTTTTATGAATGAATTAGTAATTAATTATAATTATCATGTTAAAAACTATGAAATCTTCAGCTAAGGTGGATGATTTTTTTATGTAGTTGTGTTCTCTGAGCTGGATGGTTTATTTGTGAAGCTTTCATTGTCCTACTAAGCAACATCTTCACACTTTGCAAATAAACCATCCAGCCAGGGAACACAACTAAATCAAAAAATAAGAAATCTGTAAAATGCAAAGTAGGCCGTCCCTGTCGAATAGAAACAGTTTCCCTTGGAAATATGAAACATTCAGATAACAGTCAATCATTTTGACACATAAATGGACAAATATGACGTACAGTATTTATTACTGAATCGAATAAATAGGAGAAACCAAGTAGAAGCTATCAAATAAATATATACTTCAACCAAGATAACTTCACTCCGACCCTAGACATCATTGAAGCGTCCATACCGGGAGCCGACCTGTCGGCGAAGACTGAGGATTTGGAATCAATATAACCAATCAACGGAAAATGAGATGCGGCTTTAAAGTAAAAAATAACTGACACCATTGTATAAGAGGTGGATCTCATGACCCAGTGATATTGACTAGGCGCTGGAAATGATGGACACCGGTTTCGAGTCTCAATGGGAACACCGTCACTCACTAAGAATCCAGATGCATGCACCTAACGAGTCCCAAACAGCACGAAACGGGCACGTTGGACTTCACTGACACTTACCAAGACGAAGAAAGAAAGGGGGAAGCTAAAAAGCTGTCACACACTGAATCTGTACTTAGTAGAGTAGTTCTGACAAAGTGCGAAGCTTGTAACTTTTGTTTAAATAAAAGTGAACAGTGCTTATTGATGAAAAATAATGATAATGCATTTCTCTTTGACAAAGGTTTTTGAAAAGTGAACAAGACTTCTAGTTCAGGTGGATGTATTTGCCTATGTTGTGACCTCTACATTGAATAGCTTATCCAAGAGGCTTCCACTGTCTTTCTAAACAGCATCTTAAGTGGCAAATTTTTCGTTTGAAAATTAGAGTTAAGTCTACATATTCTATTCATTGGTTCCTTTTTTCAAATGACAAACAATGAGAGCGTATTATGTACTGGACAACGTTTGGAGGACAAATTACTATTCTTCATTGCATCAAATATGATTAAATGTTAACACAGAGTCTATGTTCTATTCACTCTTATATGCATATTCATAGCTCAATGAAATGCTGAAAGCTTAAGTTACCTTTGTAGCAAAAAAAGATATAACTACTGTTAGAAATGAGTAGCTGGAGAACATTCATGTCAAGAAAAACAAATAGTCCAACGGAGGGACTTTTCAGCGAATTCCTTTTCTTTAGCTGTGCAATCGTTTTCACGTACAACATGTTTTCCCAAAAGAGGATAGTAACAAAAGTGAAGGTGTCATAATCATAGTTGTAAATACTAACCAATACTTAGGAGGAGCTGAATGGTGTTAGAGTAATGTATTAAGACTAACAATCTAATGAATGATTTGTAATAAGGATGTATATAGAAACGAAGGAAAATGTGATATGACGTAGGAGTTTGAAAGGGATACAAAATCATAAAGAGATGAGGAAACGTAAACAAGCAAAAACCAAGTTGACTACAGGATTTCATGATGAGCTGACATCAGTTTGAGAAGCATTAGAAAACCTGCAGATTGTACTGGACAGCCAGTTGTTTCGACCTAGTTTGGAACTCTTCAGCAGTATGCACTCACGGCTGGAGTTTGAACACAAGACTTTCTGGTTATAAGGCAAGCTAGCTCGTAGACCATTAAGCTACTGGAACCCGCCAATCAATGACCAGCCATGAATTCTAACTTCTGCTAATTCACAACATAGTGTGACCACTAGCCAATGTCTTCGGAAAGTATTTGCCCTCACGCCAGACCTTCTGGTCATGATTTCCCAGTTACCAGAAGGTCCTGGGTTCGAACCCTGGTGGGTACGTACTGATAAGGAGTCCCAACCTAAGTTGACGAAACAGCTGTCCAGTATCATGCAGGTTTTCCAATGGTCCTCTAACTAATGTCAGCTTATTTGAAATCCTGTAACCAATCAATCAAATCCCTACAAACCAATACTTGAAAACTAGGTTGATAGAATACAAGGCTGTTACCATGTTCGTAGAAGTTGCTGAAAAATTTTCTTTTCTTTGTGCAGCACCAGTGTTTACAACTGAATGGCTAAAGCTTCTGCTATGGAACGAAGACAAAACCGTATTGCCTTTGGTAGGTTGTTCTCCACTTAGTAGATTACTCTGAAGGAGGTATTTGTTGAGATGGAATGACCCGTGTTGATAAGGTACTGAATTATTGCACTCCTCGTAGAGCC